ATATGGATTCTGAATTTCAAGGTATTCAAACTAATTCTAAAATCTGGTAAAAGATAAGTATATAGCTTATGGTTTAACTTTCAAGTAACTTTTTTGTTTTTGTTTAGAAAGGTATTTAAAACCTTGGCTTTGAAAGATTTTGCTTAGAAAGACAAGAGAAACATGTGTGGCAACACAAGCTCTTTTACAAATCTCAAATGCGGATTTGTACCACATGTTTTGGTGTGGTCGTCTTTGTATACACATCTCATCGTGTATCCTATTTCTGTAGGTGGGACAAAGTGTTAATGGTCTTTGAACTTTCTTTCCTTCCAAACAAGAAACTGAAACTTTGACCCATTTAGTTTTTTCGTACCCATTAAGTTAACAGAGCGATATGATTTTGATACATCGTGCCAGAGTGTTTTGTCTTATGGATCGATGTTGATATACTTTGACACATGAAAAATGGATTAAAAATTGTCAAAAGTATTTATCAAAAGAAAAAGATTGCCACACGCAACTTCGTTCAAGACACCAAGCTCAACTGCATACATTAATATAGTTGACCCTTAGCTTGTCTTGAACTAACAGAAGATAATATATTGAATTCGCATTTATTTAAAGATACGTGACTTCAACAATCAACACCCAACCTGAACTAACTCATTAATAACTCATTGACTTTCTAATCATTAACCCCTTAGTCAACTTTCTTTTAAAGCCACCAACTATAATGATTCACGAAAAAAATGAATAACAAAAAGTACATAATCTAATAATACTGGTGCGTAATTAATTCCATAACCACTGCTGATAATCTGATTTCATAATGCACCACGAGAATATTTTATAAAAATACATTTCACCAGATTAATTGTTCCTAATCAAAATATCTTTTTAGTAAAAGATTTACAAATCAACCCCTCTAATACTCAACAAATCAAAAAAAACAATACAAGTCAAAGTCATGCCGAGGTAAACACCAAATCATTAAGGCCTGAAGAAGATATGTTCTCCTGCATCGCAGACTGGTTATGACGGTGCTCTCCTTCGTAAGTCACGATAAGCATCGCTGGATCATCTAAAGCTCGTTCCACATGTTTTCTCGCTGGACACCCTCTAAACGTACTGCACTTGTAATAACCACTGGAACATAATAACACATGTAAACACCGTTAGATCTTTTGCTCACAAAATAAAACAAGAAGATATCAACGGTTGTTAATAGAAGGGTGTATGGTAGTTACCGTGGGTGTGGTGAGCCCTTGATCGGTTTTTGACCGTACTTCCTCCATGAATACTCGTCCGGTGGAATATCGGCGATCTTTGAACTTATCGCCGGTACCCTCACGGTTCTCTTCACCCGATTTTTTCTACTGTAATAAATAAAAGAAACAAATTAATTAAAGAAATCGTTTTAACTAAACAAGAGCTAATAATTAACTTAACATGCGCTGGATAAGCTAGAATGAGCTGGATGCATGCTTCAGTTCAAAGTATAAAAGTCAACGGTCAAAAACCCGAGTAGTTATTACAGAAATTATAATTGTCCCTGGTCATTGTCGGAACCAGACCGATAACCGGGAAAGTATACTAAACCGGGAATATATCAACCTAATTGAATTATTGAATTAATTAGTTTAATAATAAAGTGGCGGTAATAGTCAACTAAGAGTTGAATATTCGCAAATTAAAGTATAACTGAAGTGCGTGGGTAATGGTGTAGTTGTTAAAGCGACAGGTGGGTGACGTAACCATACCGTTTCTTACAAGGGCAGTTGGAACCGGAGATCTTGCCGGAAAAACCTTCCGAGAGCGAGTGCTCATGCTCGAGGCATCTTTTTCTATAAGGATGATGACCACCCAACGGTGGCTTCCCGGAGGAAGTGACAGGCTGAGACTGAGCCGACGTGAGGAAAATCGAGGATCCTTTAGATACGCTGCCGTCTCCGGTTATCGCCGACGACATGAACGAAGAGTTTAGAGAAACGCTGAAATTCTCCTTGGCGAACTCTATCTCAGAGCTTTTGGATCCGAAGATGGTCGGTTTAGTGAAATCGAGTGTTAGGCTCGGCTGGTTCGAGTGAACTATCCTCGACGGTGTCGGAGCAACCACCGTTGGTCTCGTCGGTGGAGAAACAATCGGAGCCTCAGCGGTTTTAACGATCTGAATCTGTTGTTTCTGAGGAGACGACGCGGTGGAGTGAACCGGTCCGCGTCTGAACCGGGCGTGACCGGTGCGGTTGAGGAGGGAAATAACCGTTTTGAATTTGGAAACGGTGTATTCGGTTATCTCAGAGCAGTCAACGTTGTTGTGTTTGTCGGAACGGTTAGAGAGGACACGGATCAGATGCTCCATGCTCTGTAAGCCTTGTGATGCAGCCTCCTCTATAGCCGCTTGATCATCTATTTTGGGAAAACGCATAAGATCGACGGCCATTATGATTTCACTGTGTATTTTTTTTTTTTGTTGCTCTGAGAGAAGGAGAAGAATGTTGAGAGAGAGAGAGAGAGAGAGAGAGAGATGGTGGGTGAAAAGAGAGGAACAATGGCGTGATATATGGGGAAAGGAGGTGACCGGGTCAGGTTGTGAGATTAAAGTCAAACCGGGAAGGTTTTGATCTAACGGCTGTGATTGAGTTGAGTATTTCCACGGAATAAAGCAATCAAAGTTTGGTCTCCTCTTGTAACTGGGACCCATTTGGTATCTTAATTTTTATTAAAGATATTTTTTTCTATAAAACATAATAATGGAAAAGAAAAACATATAAATAAATACCACATATGTCACTAAAAAATTCATAATTATTTAGCAAAATTGACATTTAAATTTAACTAAAATTTATAAAATTATTAAATGTTGATTAATACATTAAGACATAATAATGGAAAAGACATTATAAAAACATAATAATGGAAAAGAAAGACAAATAAATACCACACAAATCACCAAAAATTTCAGAATTATTTAGCAAAATTGATATCTAAATTTAACTAAAATATTTAAAACTATTAAATGTTGATTAATATATTAAAACATAGTAATGGAAAGACAATATAAAAACATAGTAATGGAAAAGAAAGACAAATAAATAAATACCACATAAATCACCCAAAATTTCAGAATTATTAGCAAAATTGATATCTAAATTTAAATAAAAATATTTTAAATGATTAAATGTTGATTTTATATTAAGATTACATTCACACAATGAAGAAAGAGTACCAGATGGATTTTAGTTGAGGCAAAAGGGAAGAGTAGTCAACGTGACATAATTAATTGGTTAAAAATAGTAATTGAGATATTTGACTTTCTTTAGTTTTATTTATATTTTATGTTTGTTGCAATTTGAATCTTCTTTATTCTTTTGAATTATGCGGGACTCAATAGTATTTGTCAACTATAATCACAATCCACTAAGTTAAGAAGTTGACGATCTATGTTGATGATGACCCTGTTAAGCAGTTTCCATAACAACTAAGATTTAAATGTAAGACTTTTACAGTTTTACTTTTCAACTACACATGGAAGATTTTTTTTCATAGCGTTCTAGAACAACCATCTTTACTAATAAACGTAGCCTTTTGTTAATTTCTACTTATCAGCATATAATGGGATACAACCATCTTTACTTATAATCATTCTAATTATAAAGTAGAAAAACTAGCAATAATGGTTTGACTAAAGGTTTTAAAAACTCTACTATAATATCCGACAAATTAGAGGGAGAAGGTGGCTGTTTAAAATTAATAAGTCATATTAGCTGACGAATAAAGCTGAAATTTTGTATAAATAATATTCAGAAAAAAAGATTACCATTTCTTTAAAGTTTAAACATATAGCTATTGACTACCTCGGCATCCGGGTGGTCCCGTTAAATCGTATATGAACCGCCGGATTTTGTAAAGGTTAATCCAACGGTGGATCTATGAATAATAGTGTTGACAATGTTTATGATTCTATGAACCTAAAAAATCTCCTGCCAACTATTTGGTTCCCCTCACGTGTCGACTTCGTAATGTATCATAAAACAAATATTACATTTAGGTAGTAGTAGACAGACAATTACTAGTTTAAGACTCGGTGAATATCGGAATACCAATTTTTCAATATTTTTTTACTTTTCATATAAGATCATCATGTTTTGTGAATGCGATTAAGAAAAACTAATGCGGTTAGCTATGTGAAGAGAACGTGTTGTGTGCATACAATAACGTATTATTGACGCAGACCGAACCATGGGTTGTTGTCTAAACACATCATTATTTGTCAACGATTAAATTATAACATGGGTTAGTTGACCCTACAAGTTGTATTATTATTGTCGTGCACGTCTATCGTCTATGTAGTTATATTGTAATGCAAGAATATCTTGTTGGTGATCTTTTCCCCACTATATATATTTGAGAAAATAAATAAATCAACACATCCAGAATATTGAATTATTTCAGTCATTTCTTCAACTTTTAAAGTATAAATTATATAATTCAGAAGTTTTTTGGGTAAAAATACTTTCTTTTCTTTCCGTAAAAATACTTCTGAAGTTTTTTTTTTTTTTTTTTTGCTAAAAGATACTTCTGAAGTTTAATAGTATTATTACATACATGGGATTTAATTATTTGTCTAACGATGATAATTTTTTTTTTGTATTACTACTACCAACACTGAGCAATATTTTGATAGACCGACTTCGTCTATCACTTGGAGTCCCACCTGAGTCCAAACTTAAATCATGCATAGCTCCGAATGTAAGTTTGTCACACCACTATCTCACACCAATCATGGCTTAACGAACGCCACCACCGTATCACAGCCTCGGCCACGATCTCCACAACACCAAACAACAACACATATTCTCTACAACAATTAAAGCACATATGTTTTCATGTTGTTTTCCCTAGGGCTGGACATTTTATTCGTTAAATTTGATTCGAATCGTTATTCGTCTCGATTCGATCCGAAAATTCCGGATATCCGTAAACTTTCGAATCAAAGCAAATACTAAAAATCAATATCCGTTAAAATCGAAGCAAATCACAAATATTAAAATTTTGGGAAGCGGATATCCGATCCGATCCGGAAATATATAAATATATGTATATTTTGATTATATTTAAAATTTTAAATGTATAAAATTATTATTATAGCTTATGATTTGACTAATTAGATTCACATTATTACTTATATAAAATTATTAGATAAAAAGAAGAGAAAAATTTATAAAAAAAATCTTAAGTTTTGTGTTATTATAGTTGTTAACTTAAACATATAAAATTATAAAATATGTAAATTCATTACTTCTTTATTTTTTTATTTTATATATCATGTAAAAAAAATTTACAAGATAAATTTATATAAGATTATTTATAACGGATGAGATATTCGTAAGTATTCGTAAATATCCGCAAATATCTGTTTATTTTCCGGATATCCGTTTTTCCGGATATCCGTATTTTTCCGAAGCAAAGCAAATACCAAAATCAGATATCCGTAACATACGAAGCAAATCACAAATACCTTCAAAAACCCGGATATCCGATCCGTGTCCACCCCTAGTTTTCCCTCGGTACATTATACAAAAAATATTAAAAAACAAACTATGAAGAGGCCCACGAGTCTCTCCATTCTTCCTATATCTTTTAAAGATCGATTTTCTTCTAAAAATTGTTCACATGCTTTGATGTTATGTGTGTTCTGCAACTGATTTTGTTCCAGTAATTTTGTCATTCTCCTTAAGTAGTTCTAACACGCAAAACACATCGTAACAAAATCCTGTTTTTATGTAACATAAACTCATCAACCATAACGCAAATAAAAAAACACGAGATATAAAACCAATAATCACTTCCCCTTTAAACCTGAAGGATCATGACATAACACGAAGTCAGCAAAACACATTGAGTCTGCACCAAACAGTTCCCAAAGCTACAATGTTACGACATAGTGCTCGTCGAATCTATACGATGCGAATATCCGACCGAAGCTTCGTATTTATAATATTTCATCATTATATACGTGTTTGTTAACATATAACTATTAGGAATTGAACGGTCCATATTTTATTCTCAACAATGAAGCTAGCTAGTGGGAATTTTAGAAGATTAATAATTTAATACTCCATAAGTTATACTCTTTTTTTTTATACAGAAAATATCCGATCATGACTTACACTATTAGCTCTTTATCAAATTAAAAACGATTATTGTTTCGATGATAAAAATGTCTGGGTCCAATGTTTAGTAACATTTTCATGAAGTCAACGTAAAGAATAATTATTACACATGGAATTATTCTATAAACATTGACTGTGTGTACACACGGATTTAACACGCATTGAAAACAAAGGGTTCTCTCTTCACATTCACGTTTTGACTAAAAGTATTCTCATTTTTTGTCTATATGCTTTACCATATTACTGTCTATATACTATTATATTCCAGTGTTTATATTGGCCAGGCGTGATTTTTATTATTTCTTCAAATAGAAAAATATTTTGATTATAAACAAACAAATACATAACACTAGACTAAGCTACTCGTCTAACGCAGAATAAATGTTATATATATATATAATCTATACATTACTATGTATTTATATTTTTTATTTATATTAAATTAGTGAGAGGTCAGTGTCTATTACATATATATTTAAATTGGTGCATAGATATAAAACAAAATAATCATTATTATTTATAACTATTTTAAGGTAAATAAATCTAAATAATATTTTTTTATCTTTTATATTGTTTATAACTAAACTTAAATGATATGAATATCGATGTATAGTATATTTTTAATAACTATTTATTAAATAAAATTTTCCTATTCATATGGTTTTAGGATTATTTCTATTCTTATAACAAAAAGTTGAAACATTGATAACAAAATTTTAAGTATGGAACTTTTAATATTTTTATAAATTTATAATTAATTTAAAAAAATAATGAAAATTCCAAACTAAAATATTTATGCATTTTATATAATATATATATATATATTTACTCTAATATTTATTAAAAAGACATCTTACTCATATAGTTTTATGAACATGTGTATTTTTTTATAATCTTAAGTTAAACCATTGATTATAAATTTTCAAAATGAGATTTTTAAAATTTTATTAATTTATATTTCTTTTTAAAAATTCAAAATATAACATCCATTGAAAAACTGAAACTTTATCATGTTAATATAAAAAATGATAGAAGATGTATAAATTATTATCAAATTTTTATTATTTAAAATTATGAATTATCATATATATTTTGATCAGATTAGGTAATTTTATATGTTTATTTAAAGAAATAATGAATGATATTTTTATATCAATAACTAATTATATGATTAAGTTAATGAAAATATATTGTATGTTTAGATTGACTCATTTATTTTTCTAAAAATTTGGAATTGATTTTCTTGATGACATATGATTTAAAATATTATAGCATTTCTTTTTACATATTTCTTTTTTTTAATATATATGAATATGTAAAAGAAAAACTAGCATGGGAATGGAAT